TTTGCATTTCTAGATTGTTGCGTTTTGCCAAATTCTGACAATTCTGCCATGCCTGGTAAACATTATAGGAACTGATTTGCTACTGATTGCATTATGCACCGAGTTGATGATTCAGCTAAGAATTCTTTCGAGTGAAATGGGAAATCTGAAGTTTGACCAAGTAAAGTCAAAAGAAGATAAATTAGAATGTAACAGACGATTAAAGAAATGCGTCAAGTATCACATTTTCTTACTCAGGTAGCATTTTCTTTCATATGAATAATTAAACTGTATGTATAAAATATTATTTTTGTGTTTCAGGGTATTAAGAAGGGTACAGAAGGTATTCTCTCCAATACTGCTTTACCACCCCGTCCTGTTATGCCTTACGATGTGCTTTGAGACTTACATAATAACAGAATGGTAAAAGATATTCTTTTGTTTATATTATGGTCTATATGTACGTACCTACATAATGTTTTTGTCTATTCAGTTGCAAATTATAAAATTACTTTTATTAGTAGGTAGGGACCTACTACTAATTTTTTTGTTACTTAAAATTAGCAGTAGATACTGTAAAAAACAGAAGAGAACTCAGAAAGGTGGTTCTCTATAACCTATTTTTTTTTCTGTTTAGTCTTCGGGACATGAGACTGATGCATTTACTTATAAAGAGCGTCTTGTATGTCATGAGTGAACTACTCGAATTTGCCATATACTGTATTTCAGCCGAATTTGTTGCTTTTGAGGTAAGTCCGAACAATCGTCATTAACAACATCATCACGGGGTACAGTTGAGACGATCAAAATCGGCAAAAGTACACAGTAAATTATCTGTGAGAAAAGACGTATCTTCTTTCTTGTTTCAACTTCGGACTGTAGCCATTTGCTACGTTTTGAACACACCTTTGTTAAGTTAGGAAACGCTTCATGAGTAGTATCAGCAGATAAAGTGACAAAAGATAACCGAATAATAGTCAGCGGTGCAGAGGTTAGAAGTTGCTTGGGTACACAAAAGATCAGGGTTGGCATAAGGTCGTCAGTCCTAAGACTGGTTGTGGACACGCACCTCCACTCCACTAATCTTCGCATTTCTCTAAAACTGGAAGAACCCATATCCTTGACCATTTACGAACGGTAATCTAACCTAGGTTAACCTCTACCCTCCTAACTCCTGTTTCTGCCTCTAATATGTCTTTGACTAGACCTTAATGTCTGAGAAGGTGTCCTACCAACCTATCTCGCCTATTTCTTATTTAACAACCATTTTCCAATTTTGCCTGGTTGGAATTATATCTTCATAAAAGCTTCCTGCTTTGTTAAATTGCTGAGAATGTTGAACTTTCTTTAAAGTCCGATACGAGCAACATGCTCAGCTGCTCTTTGTCTGCATCTCTTTCTGTTACACATCAATTAGTTTAATGTTATTAGTGCCCGCTGCAATTCCTACCAGACATCTCTTTTCTATGTTTACGATATGATATTCCCTACAACGTCTGTCGTGAGTAAAAGTAGGCGTTCTGTCAGCAACCGCTCTAGCCTAGTTAGTAAATTGAAAGAAGAGAGTAAATGCTACAGTTTTATTGCGGACTATGCCAATTTTGAACGTCTCAACTATAGTAAGTTCGAAAACTTTCCCGAAAATTACTTCATCCAACATCCGTAATTATTTGAGAATACTGTTTAACTTGAGTTAACCTGTTCCTCTCATCACTCCTGTTTCTAATTTTAAAATGCCTTTAAGTAGCCCTTCACGTCCCTCCTTTTCCCTATTGACTTTGTTACTTTTTCCAGTATCAGTATTAACATTTGGTGACCACTTATTTTTGTTAATAGTGTAATGTTCGTGGGTTTAACAAAATTAACTTCTAAGACTGAAACGAAGACAAAAACTATTTATTTACACTAATTATTAAAGAACTTAAAAACACTATTAAATTATTACTAAACTTAGGTTATGAATTATTCTATTTATTTACACTACTGTTGCTATAACACTATTCACTGAGCTATTTATTTCACTGCTATTACTGTCAATTTATTTCTGGAGTCACTTCTGCAACAGTCAATTTATTTCCTCTCCTCTCGACGATCGTCTCTTCCTCTAAATATTCTTTTGTTTACTTCGCTCTCGAACTTTCCCAAGCGTCTTATTCACTCCAAAATGGCCACCAGATGATCCATCATGAAGATACTGCAATACCTCTCTAACCTTGTTTCCAGGAATAACCAGTTGCTTCCTATTTTTCTCTCCATCTGGACTTTCAACAACACGCTTCAGGTTGCCATCCTCCAAAACCATTGAGTCCCACTGAGCCCATAACGATTTTAGTACTTGGGTACAGGAAGAAATTTGGTGCCATGGTGGTCGTTTTCCGTCTCTTTTCCATTCCATCACCTTGTTCAGGTCCGGCTCGTTTTCTTGGTCGTGTTTTATATTTTTGGGTAACCACTCGTCATCGATTACCGTGACGCGTCGAATTGCCTCCTCATTCTTTTCCATTCGATCACACTGCTTGCAATCTGTTTGACGTCGAGTACTTGGGTAAGGAATACTTTTCCTACACTGCCTCCTAGTATGACCTGGTTCGCCGCAATTCCAACATCTTAGCTTTCGAGTTTCTTTATCGAATTTGGAGATTTTGACGAATCCGTTTCTTCACAGAGTAGCCGAACCCTTCCCTGTTTGCTATATGTCCGTTTAACAGTTTCGTACTCCAATGCACGAGCCAATGCATCAGCTAGCGTCTTAGGTCGGTCAAGGTGTATTCGTTGTTGAGTGCCATCAGTAAATGCCTCCACAGCCAACCTTTCCATCAATTCTTCTGAAGTATTAGGATAGGCCAGTCGAGACAATCTCGCAATATCTGCCTCGAATTCTTGTAGGGATTCCGTTGGTTTCTGCTGACGGGTTTTCAGTTGGATGTGATACACCGCTGTTAAATGAACCTCGCCGTAGCGCAACTCTAACCGTTTTCCCAACTGTTCATAATCCGCCAATTCATCCGGGGAAGGGTATTCAAAATGTAACATGCATCTCCACGAAGCGCAACGGTCAACGCGGTTTCCATACTGATTTCTCTTTTTCTTCTTTTCAATTTCACCTCTAGTATCACTTATCTTTTTCGGCATTCTCATTTTTATTTCTTCTTGTACCTACCTTATGTTTCAATCTTCTGTTTTATTTCTTTTTGAGCTGCTTTTAGCTCTTCTTTTCCCATTTTCATGTCTGCTTTCATTTCTTCTTGTATTGCTTTTAATTCTTCTTGTCTCATTCTCAAATTAACTTTTATTTATTCTTGACCCTTTTTCATTTCTTGGGTCGTTTTTTTTTTCATTTTTTGTGGCATTTTCTGTTTGTTCTGCTTTCGTTTTTACCGTTACTACCACTGAGGCTTTTATTTGTTCCTCCATTTTTTACTTCGATTCCTCTAGTTATATCAGGCATGAAATAACCCGATTTCTTCTGAAATGTTCTACGAAGGTGTCCCATTTGGCAAAATCGTTCTTCTTTCTTCGTAAGCTTCCCAACGATGTATGGCTTGCTAGGGTTATTCGCGATCCGTGTAAATTTCCAGAAATTTCAATTTTACTGTTCGATGACATCGGATCCGTTTCTTCATTCTTCGAAAAATCGATGAAATTCTTCAATAACGTCAGATTCTTTCTTCTCACTTCAAGAACATTCCAATGATATATTGTTTGTTGAGGTAATTCACGATCGGTAGAAACTTCCAGAAAATTGACTGATGAAAAATTCTAGAATATTCGATTCCTTCTCCTTCTTCTTCAATCCTCTTCAGTCTCACTCCTGACACCAAATATCGTGCAATCATATACCTTTCTCACTACTGACTAATTTATTTAATGTCTAATTAGCATCACCATCAATAATTAATTTCTGTACTAAATCACACACCTTGCCGCTTCTTCGCTCTTTTTATTTCGCTTTGTATCGCTTCTAAAACTAGAACTAACTAACTAGACTAGACTTATTTTAGAATATTCTCAACAATTCAGCAAACTTCAGGGGATTTATGGAACTCAAAATTGAATAAACGATAAAGTAAACGGTGTAGTAGGGGAATTCTTCCTTCTTTGTTTCGTTTCTTGTTGTTTTGTGGTAATTTCTTTACTTTTAAGTAATTTATTATTGCTCTGTATTATTTTAGGCACATTCTACTTATTTTACAATGTGTAAGGTTTTTGTAATTCTTACTTCTGAAAAAAACTGTAGCATTTAATAAACCATAGTACATGTTTAAATTTTGAAATGTAACATAAAGCTATGAATATTACATAATATTGCGTTTTTAATAAAACTGCTTTTTTACGATCATAAATTTCTTTTTTATTGATTTTCCTTCACTTTAAAAAATAAACTGTCGTCACATAACGAAACATCATTATGTTTTGCCATTACAGAGAAACTCTCATCAATCTTTCAGAAAGGTGAATCTGATCTCAGATCAGCGTATTACCAAGATCTTTGAATTATATAAGTTAAAAAAATATTAAAAACAATAAATAAAGATATAACTAATTAACCTCTTAGTTTTTATCGACTTTCAAAAATTAATTGGGTGAAAGCTTAAGAGGCAATAATCCTTCAGTTATAATACAAATCATATATTAATAAGGTAACTGTAATACAACGCATCGAACATTTTCGTAACTGTGATGTATAATCGGTAATCGCCCAATACTGAACTTGGATTAAGAGTTTATATGGGTTGTTAGGAAAACTTCTTCTTGGTTGTACTGGTCGGTATAATCGTGGCATCTAGTTAATGATGGAATACTGAAAACTTTCTAGAATTTAAACGGGACAGTTAAAATGAATATATATTACTTTTAGTAAAATGTAAAGTACTTGATAGCATTGAAAATAATTTTGAGAAGACTTATATCATGGCTTATTATGGTTCTCGATAAGCTGATTAGTTGCTTTCCTTTTAATCGTATAGATAGTCGAGTCTCTCGCAAAAAACATCTTGAGATATTCTTCTTCCTGACCATTGTCGAGGCAAGAAGTACTTACGGATTGTGCCTGAGTGCAAAATACCACGTGGTAATGGTAACTTACAAGAGCAATCACATCTGAAAGCAGTTTGTTTTGAATGATAAAAACAAAATTTTCCCACAATTTTAATACAAACAAAATCAAATTTTTTGAATATTATTGAATATTCAGTGAAACGTACGGTTTTTTTATTCGAATTGTTTCAATAAGTCATTCAGATTCAAAAAAATGACACCAAAAGTTGTTTAAGTTTTGCCCAATACAACATTATTGTAGTCTACATACTTGAGCTTATACATATATGTACTTCACAGTTTGACTTTTATTGATTTTATCTTTACTATTTCCAATTTTATTGCTTAAATTATTTCCTATGGCAGTTGCGGTAGGTACTATGCAGCGAAATGATGGTTGTAATTAAATTAGTTTGAAGCTTAATGCAGAAGAATTTCAAAAGTTATATACCTCAACAGTTATTACAAAATCTGAATTTTGTAAATTAGGAGTAGTAACGCATTTATTATTACAGAAACTTGATTAATGCTGCGTTATGAGCATACATATATATAATATAGAGATTTTACAAATAAAAGATGACAATAAAATAACACCATAATCATTAGATGTTTTCAAATCTCAAATGAACAAAAATCAATATGGAATTAATTATCTTTAGCTTTCCCCAAAGCATTTATTTTCTCATTTCGTTTTTCTTACTAAAAGAAAAATAGAAAAACAATAATAAAAAATCATAATTAAGTAGGTAATCAATAGAATTTTAAGAACTACTTACTATTCATTTTAAGAGCCAACTTGAAAATACCGTTTATTGGAAAGTCAAAGAAAAGTGACCATGTTATTGAAAACAGGATCGTATAAATTAGATCGCCGAAAAAAAGATAATGCTAAAAAAACTTAATTTATTTCGGTAATAGAAAACTTTTCTGTTTTTACCATAATAAACACATTGAAAATAGCTTGCTGACGTTGTCTAAATGTTGTAATACCAAATTGAGGAAAATGTAATAAATACATAGGAAATGCTATCTTTTTAATAACTCCAAATATTGACAGACTAAGGAAGGTATTTATGAAACCTAAAAATAATTTTATTTCATTTTTATTTTATAGTTCGGAGTTTAGATAAATACTTTCTTATCATCATAATACGTATTGTTTCAAAGCCGGTGGATTTATTTAAGAAGACTTTTTAAATTACGTTTGTAATTCAACAAACAAACAAACTCACTAAAAAAAAAATGAAATGACACTTACCTCCATATCCATTTGTGCATGCAAAAATCACCCAGCATAGGGACAAACACCAAACAGGACAAACAAAAGCTATGAGGAATGAATGTTTCAATTTGCTGTATTTTTCATCGAAGAAAACAAAATTCTGAACAGCAAATATGCATGCAACCATTGTTGTTAATATCACGAACCACGTAACGGTAACCATCACCTGTAAAATATGACCTGTTCTGTTAAACTCTAATTTTAAAGAGTAGATAGCGGTTAATTCTTGGTCAACCATTTTAATAAGTACTAAACAAAAATTGAATTGCTTCACAATTATTCATTGAAAACCTTAATGTACTTTCTCTGTATATTCCTATACGGGTAGTTTATATAAGCGGAAGTAAACAACGTGAAACAGATATATGGTGTCTAGTTTTCTCTATCTTCCGAGCATTTGCATTTATGCTGCTATTATGTTAAAGATTCCTCAGGCATGCGCAGCATAAACAAAGGGTCTCCGAGGAGAGAGCGAGAATAAATATAGTCGGCACCGTAATGGCAGAACATTCTGTTCTGTACCAACTGACCATGAAGTAGTATTACAAATATATAATTCTGTGAATTCTGTTAATCATGAGTCAGTTATTTACCGAATTATTTTTATATCATTTAGTGTTTCTAATTTAATATGCGGAAATCAATCAATCCGAGCTTATATTATGCATATATGCTGACGAATGCGATTATTCTATTCATGATCCAACAGTCAAGTGTCTCAATCGAGATCTGTATTCAGCACACAAGTTTATATATTGTAGTATTATGTACCTGTATATAACGCGTTTCATCATCATAAGTTGTCAATCCTAAGACTGGACACGCACGTCCACTCTTTACTTAGGTAATCTTCGCATTTCCATAAAACAAGAACAACCCACATCCTTAACCATTTGCGAACAGTTATCTAATCTAGGTCTACAATTGCCCCTCCTAAATCCCATTCCTGCTTCTAATATGTCTCTGACTGGACTTTCATGCCTGAGAAGGTGTCCTACTAATCTATCTCGTCTATTTTTTACTGACTTCAATAGAGTCCCCTGTACTTCTATTCTTTCTAATACCTTTTCATTTCTCACCTTCTGTATCCACGGTATCGTGATCGTTTACCTTTAACACCGCATTTCGAACGTTCTAACCTTTTCTTTTCCGACGCGCCCACTGTCCATGTTTCCAACCAGTACAGCGTCGTGCTCCAATTATACACCTTTAACAACTCTTTTCGAATTTCTAAATTAACCACTCGCGAGCATAGAAGTGACTTCTTTTTATTGAAGGCTACACGACCCTTCGCTATTCTCTCCTTTATATCCGTACTACCCCTTGCGTCCTGACTTATCTGACTTGCTAGATACCTAAAATCGGCCACTTTTACTAATTTTTTGTTCCCTATCTTTATATTCGTCTTTCCCTACTTCTTCTTCCCTTACTTACCAGTATATTTGTTTTACTTTTGTTTATTTTCATGCAATACTGTATTGTCAATACTGCTTCCATTTTATTTAAAGCTATCTCTGACTCCTCCTTGCTAGATGCTAATATTACTATATCATCTGTAAATCTAAGCATACTAATCTTTTGCCCCTGTATATCTATCCCTACAGTTGTACTGGCTTTAATTATGTTGATCGCGTCTTCGATGTTTAGATTAAAAGGTAGCGCTGACAGTTTGCATCCTTGACTCCCTTCCTAATATTTACTTATCTACTTTGCAGACTGAGCTCTATAACTGCCTGTTGCTCTTTATACAAACCAAGTATCACTCTTCTATATTTGCAACTCATCCTTAAATTTTTAAGTATATTTAACATCTTCAATCTACAAATCCTATGTACGCACTCTTTCTTTTTTCTATCGTTTTCTCTGTTGTTACATGTTTATAAGTTTAAAATTTAAAAGTTAATATAGTGTTTTAAAAATCCAGTGCTTTCACTAAAATCTACTCAGAACATACTTTACAACGGTCTGGTCTTCAATAACACGGCGAAAGCCCAAACACTGGTCTTTCTAACACCCGACAAACAGTAAAAACAGCCTTAAAACAAGGAACGCGGAACACGAAAAAGAGAAATCTAAAATTCAGGAAAACTACGAAATAAAAACACCAACTCAAATAAGTCACCATCCTTTGTTCACCTATCATTTGCATGACACTGAACGGTGTACTAAATAAACAAAATGATTTCAGAAAATAATTCCGAAGGACTTAAAGCGTGGAAATTATAACGTGGCCAATTGAAAGCAAAACTTACAAAGGTTTCAAAAGTCATTAATTCATTTAATCAAGAAACAGATGATTCGGTACAATTCGAAGAACGTGTTAAATCAATTAAAAATGTTCTTTCACTGTTCGAAGATATTCAGATAAATATCGAAAATTTAACAGGTTTCGAATTACAACAAGATGAATTTTAATTCCTGCACGAACGCCTTATTTCGGCGGCCTTTAGTAGGCTGCGATTTAATCATCAAAAACACACTTATTCCGAGTTGTTGGGAACGCTTTGTTGACATTTGAACAATTATACACTGGTCTTTGTCAAATTGAGGCCGTACTTAATTGGAGGCCTTTGGTACCGCTTTCCAACAATTAATAAGTATATATGGTATGACTTGTAACATAGCAATAGATTTACATAGAGTTACATAAAAATAATTTTTACTTAAATGAAATAAAGTCAATAATTACAATAGGAAAGCAAGACTATAAGAAATCGATAAGAGTAGTTTTTTTTCATTCACGTGTAAATTCTGTCGGCAGTGAAGGTATAATGTCAAATTGAAGTTTACAGGGTTTGTCCGGAAAGTAATAGGTCTAATTTCCTTCCGCCGCGACTGTACTCCGGAGCGTGCGCGCACCGGCTGGATTCGGTAGAGGGCATTTCTAGCTAACGAACGAGCGGCTGGTGAGTTGTCTCCGAGCACCTGGAGAGTCAGAACAGGCTTTGCCGCGCGACGTTTTTTTGTGTGAGTGGTGCAATCCGAAAATGCAGCGTTCGTTAGAGCAGAGGTACGCGATTAAATTCTGTGTGAAACTCGGTAAATCTGCGACAGAGATGTTTGATATGATCAAGCAGGCCTACCCAGATGTTGCTTTAGCAAGAAGTGGTGTGTTTCGGTGGCACCAGGCCTTTTCAGAGGGCCGAGAAGAGGTCGCCGATAAAGACCGTGCTGGAAGACCTTCGACTTCGACAAACACCGACAATGTGACTCGTGTGCGCGAAGTTTTGAACTCAAACCTTCAACTAAGTATTCGTTTAATTGCCCAGATATTAAATTTACCAAAATTTGTGGTTCATGACATTGCGATGGAACATTTAAACATGCGCAAGGTGTGCGCGAAGATGGTCCCAAAAGTGCTTACTGACGACCAGAAATTGCAGCGAGTGGAAGTGTGCCAAGAAAATTTAAACATGTGTGAAAGTGACCTCCAATTTTTGAATAACGTAATCACAGGTGACGAGTCATGGAACTATGAGTATGATCCCGAGATAAAGAGGCAATCTCCCGGGTGGCACACGCCGGCGTCTCCTCGCCCAAAAAAGGGAAGAATGAGCAAATCCAAAGTGAAAACGATGCTCATTGTCTTTTTTGACATGAAAGGCATCGTCCATCATGAAATTGTAACGATTAGCTCAATAATTTTTTTTAAATCGACTCAGTCCTATTACTTTTCCGACAAACCCTGTATTGGCTAATCTACTCATTCTCCATAATGGAGCATGGTACCAGTAGTTGGTTCTGGCTAGCGTTACATGAAATAATTCACCACGTTGGCGCATTCTACGAGGCGGGTCGCTCCAGTTCACGTATGACAGTAACTCTGGACAACTATTTATGTTAATTATCAAGTTATAAAAATATTGCAGATCGTTAAAATTTCTGACAGAATGAAGTGAGCTTAGATTTAAAAAACAGGCGATCTGATAATAATCAGGATAATAGCTTGGTAGAGGCCAGTGAAGTTTCCAAGCGACCAAATTAAAAATTTGTGTTGGACCGTTTCAAGGCGTTTTCCAAGCTTATTATAATACGGAGACCATACCAGAGATGCATATAGCAAAACCGATCTGATTAGTGTTAAATAGAGAGTGCGTAGGATGTAAGGATCAGAAACATCAATAGTCATACGTCTTATGAAACCTAGTAATTGTAGCGACTTATTAGCAATACGATCAACATGTTTATCAAATTTAAGTTTATTGTCAAATTTGACTCCTACATCTTTGAATTCTGTTACAGTTTCAAGTAGTACATTGTTAATGTGATAACGTTCAGTTATTTGATTTTTGATGCTCGAAAATCGGATGACTTTACATTTAGATATATTGAGCATTAACTGATTCGTGTGACATCAGTTCGATAACGCTAAAAGGTCGTGACGTAACACTTTACAATCTTAGACGCTCTTAATAGGATGAAAAATTTTTAGATCACCAGCGAATAGCAAAAATTTGCACGTTAACGAATGCTTTATATCATTTATAAAAGTAAGGAACAATAAAGGGCCGAGATGCGAACGCTGAGGTACACCTGACTGTACAATATTGTCTCGTGATATAAAAGATTTGAACTTAACATTTTGAATTCTATGAGATAAGTAGCTTTGCAGCCAACGCAAAAGAACACCATGCATTTCGAAGGATTTTATTTTCTCTAACAAAATAGGGCGATTTATAGAGTCGAAGGCTTTTGAGAAATTAGTATAAACAGTGTCGACTTGCAAACCTTGACTAAGTTTTTTCAAAGTGAAATGCTGAAACAGTAATAAGTTAGAGACTGTTGATCTGTGTTGTCGAAATTATAGGTATCACAATACTTTCGAATAATTTTGGAATAGTACTCAGAATAGAAATAGGTCTGTAATTTTTGACGTCAGAACGCGAGCCTGATTTGTGAATCGGTGTTATAAAGCTACTTTTCCAGATCTCGGGAAATGTTCCTTCGCTCAGCGACTTATTGAATAAGACATGAAGCATTGGAGTTATGTTAAAATTACAATTTATCAGAAAGGAGGGCGGAATACCGTCCGGTCCAGCGCCCTTTTTGGGATTCAATTTTGCAATTTTATGAAACACTTCAGTTTAAGATAGAGAGACTTGGCCAAGATTAAAGCTAGATAAAGATTCGGTTGTAGGAGGTAAGTCATGACCTACATCCATTGTA